GACGGGGGTCAGTGAGGTGGGACGGGGGTCAGTGGGGGTGGGACGGGTCAGCGGGGGTGGGACGGGGGTCAGTGGGGTGGGACGGGGGTCAGTGGTGGTGGGACGGGGGTCAGTGGGGGTGAGTGGGCCAGGTAGCCGCCCCTCCCCCTGCCCACGGGGCTCAGGGCAGGGAGGGGGGCCTCTGCGGGGACGGTGACACTGAGCACAGCGTCCCCAGGCCGCCGCGCGCCTGCCGCCCACGTCCCTTCTTACGCTGGACTTCTCCTCGAAGCTGGCGAGGTCCTTCAGGAGGTGCTGCACATGCGCCAGGCTGTTCCCCACGTCGGTGAAGGTCGTGATCTTCTGGGCCAACACGTCCAAGGCGGCTTTGACCTGCGACGGAGTGGGGGTGAGAGACCAGGCAGGGAGAGCAGTGAGAAGAGCCACGGCCGAGAAGAAGGAGGGGGGGATATGCCGCAGAAACGGGGCGGGCGGGGCGGGGGCCCGGACCCCTCTCAGAAGCAGTGCCAGAGGGAAACTTCCTCGAATTGAGAAGGAACCTCTACAGCGACCCCACTGCCGACGTCACAGGCGTAATGACGGCGAAACGCCTTCCCCGTGAGACTGGGAGCAGGGCAGGGACGCCCGCCCTCACTACCGTTACGCGAGTGGTGGAAGCTCTCTCCGGGCAACGGGGCAAACAATTTAAAAAATAAACAAATAAAAACATACAGATCAAACAGGAAGAAATCAAGCCATTTCTGTTTGCACATGACCTGATCGTCTATGTGGAGAAACCCCGAAACTCTACCAAACGACTCCCAGATTGAGTTCAGCAAGGTTTCAGGAGATGAGATAAATATACAAAAACCCAGCTGTACTTCCATAGATAGCAATGAGCACATGGACACCAAAATTAAAAATACAACACCATCTACAATTGCTTAAGAAACGGAATATGTACACGTAAATCAAACAAAACACGTACTGAACTCATGCAAACCACACAGCACTGGTGAAAGAAATCTAAGAAAATCTAAATAAATGGACCGACGTACGCGTTCACTGAGTGGAGGACTTGGCACAGTAAAGGTGCTGATTCTCCCCAAACTGAGGTACAGGTTCAACACAATTCCTGACAGAGCCCCAGCAGGATTTTCTCATAGGCAAATCTTGTCTCGTAGACGAGATTATTTTAAATTTACACGGAAAGGCAAAGGAACCAGAACAGCTAAAACAACCGTGATGGAGAAGGATGAAGGGGGCGGGACAGAGTTTCTACGACCTTCGTCTGCAATGGTTTACTCATCGCTCACATAGTCCAAGCCAATCCCGCGGCCCCGCGAGGCTCCGCGTGGCTGACGAGCCAGTTCTCACCGCGCGCTGTCAGCGGCCTTCCGCAGCCGCAGTGCCGGGCGCCCACCCGCAGGCCCCCCGAGCCCCGGCCTCTCACCTCTCGGAAGTCCTGCTCGAAGTGCCGGAGCTGCAGGCACTGCTCCAGTTTTCGCTGATGTTTTGCCCAAAACTCATCAAAGGCGGCCTCGGTTTCACTCAGCTGGGCCAGGAGCCTGCGAGAGGGGACGGCAGCCGTGCTGGGCCCCTGCAGCGCCAAGCGGGCGGGGCGCTCGGTCTGCCCTCCACACGCGAGGGGGCACATCGGAGGGCTCGGGGGGCCGGGGTCTGTGTCCCCCCAGGGCCCTGCCCTTGCCCTCGACGCCCTGGGTCTCTCGGAGCCGCCTGGGGCGGGTGGTTGTGCTGAGTGTGTTGTTTTAAAAGTACAGACGTGGCCGTTTGGGCCTACCATTCACAACCTCAGCTCAGGGGACGAGGAAGCGGTGAGTGGCCTCTGCGCCTGCAGGTCACGTGCTGCCGCCCTGACCCCGCCGGCCCCGGCCTCACCTCTGCACGGTGCTCTGACTATCCAGCTGGTCCTGGTTCGGGCTCTGCTCCGGGCCCCGGGCCAGCGGCTCCCGGATGCTCTCCAGGACGCTCCGCCCCTCGTCCAGCGCCAGCCTCATGTCCTCCTGTGGGAAGAGCGCGCCGCCCATCACCCCAGGCCGCCGGGCCCTGGGCTTGGCCCCCGGCGGTGGGCTCCGTGGCGCCCGGCCCCGCAGGGGAGCGTGAAGGTGACGACAATAAGGTGGGCACACGGTGGCCTCCGCCTGTCCCCCAGACCCTCTGCTGACCGCCCAGCAGTGCTGGGGAGGCGCTCCCACCGTGAACGGGGAAGGGCTAGGGTTACGGGTCTCCCAGGCAGTGGGACCGGACAGGGTAACAGGAAACCAGACCCCCGGTGTCTCCTCCCACGGCCCGCCGCCGGGGGCCGAACGGGGTGAGGGCTCTCTTGGACGGGTAGGGGGCGGTCCCCAAGCACCAGCAGCGGGTCACGGCCTCCACTAACTCAAAGCCCGAATCGCGCGGCGGCCTCAGAGGCACAGCCCCGATCGCGTTTACCAGGAAGCCGGTTGTGTGCCATGACCACTTGGTCGGGCTCAGGCGTCCGAGTCCGCCCCCCTCTCCCGGGGGCGCCGGGGATGCTGTCTCGTTGCCCTGATCAGCAGGGCCCGGCAGCAGGACGGCAGGGCCCAACCAGAGACGTTGCTTGGAAGGGAGGTTCAGCTTCCCTGCAGGGCAGCCAGCTCGGGAGCCTCCCAGGCTCCACTTATCTGACGCCCCTCCCTGCACCACCCCGCCTGCGCACGCACCTTGGCCCTGTCCTTCTTCTCCGTGTGGGCATGGAGCACGGAGCTCGTGGACTGTACGTCGTTGGGCAGCTCCGTCTCGGCCAGCTCGGTCCCGAAGGCCTGCAGCATCTGAGCTGTCTGCTTAACCAGGAGGGCGAAGCTCTCTATCGCCTGGTGGGGAGGAAAGCACCATCACGAAGCCGCTGACGCGCCGCGGCCTCCTGCGCCTGGAAGCTTGGCCGCAGCCCAGCCCGTCTTCCCGCCTGCACCTCAGCCTCGGCTCCTTCACAAACACGGGCTCTGCACCCTCCTCGGAGGGTGAGTGCCGAGAACCCAGCTCGCGCTTTTCTTTTTTTCTTTTCTGTCCTGAGCCCAAGAAAGCCACTCCCGACTCATGACTCACGTTACTCCTTCGGATGACTAAAGTCCACTGAGACCACCTGCTCATTCTTGGGGAGAAAACCCGGGTAAACGGGAAGAGGTCTTTGGAACAGGCAGCACCTTCAGGCAAAAGTAGCTCTGCTGGATTGACTGTGGTTACGGAGGATGCAAGGGACTCACTGTGCGGTGGCAGAGCCACCTGGAGTGGCAGTAATCCAGTGTCCCGCCCAGGTCCTCGGTCAGCTGGGACTTGTCAATGTAACTGTGTAATTCCGGGACGGAGCTCAGCATTATGACCTGGGGAGGATGAGAGCCGCCCGTAAGCAGAGCGCCCCGCACACGCAGACGGAGGGGCCGAGGCAGGCGTGGACAGAAGGCGTCTCCCGGCTCCTCCACGGAGGGCAGGGCGCGGCGCCCCCTGGGCCTCGGCTCTCCCATCCGTGAAACGAGTGTACGATGACCGGTCTCACCAGACGACCGCTGCTGGGGTCGAGCAAAGACCTGGATGGAGCCAGGCACGCTGCCGACACCGGGCATCTGATGGGTGAGGGGGCCCTTGTGCTAACGGAGCCGCACGGACCCCAAAGCCGCGGGTCTGTCCGCATTCCTGCTGAGACCGGGAGGCTGCGCGGGGGCGGGGGTAGGTGCCCAGCACGGCACAGCTGCCTTTGGGGAGAACAGGTGGCCCCGGAGGCTCTTCCACATGGATGAGTTTTACTTCCTATCTTGCTCTTGTCCTTTTGAGGTCATTCCATCCATGAGCCTGGATAAAAATACAGCCTTTGCTTTGCAAGCTGTCAGTTCTTGCTGCCGAGGTCCTGGGAGGCTCAGCCCACGCGCCACTCGACACCACCTCGTGTTTTATTAAACTCTGAGCTCGCTGGGGGCCGAGGGGACACCTGACACGTCCCAGGTCAACTGTATCCTGACGTGGGAGGTCAGGGTGCCACCGAGACCCGGAGGACCACCTGCCCTGCCGTCGGGGGCCCACATGAGGCCCCCCGACTGAGGCATAACTTTCACTTAAGAACAGGCTACGATGGCAGTTCTCAGCGGAGGTATCTGGTCTCTCTTTGCCGTCCGGCAAGGCCGTTCCCCCAGGTCAGCCTGATTCACGCCAACAGGACCAGGGACGGGTCGGTCCACTATCCAAGGACCTAACGCTCTTCCTCCGTGACTTCTACCTGCTTCGCGTCTACTGAACCACGACAGAAAAGGCGAGAACACACCGCCCCTCTGGATGTTTTCTACTTAGCACCGAGGTCAGCACAGGCACCAGCACACTGACGTGGACACACTGTAGCAGCAGCCTTCCCGAGATGATGCTTCTCTAATTCTAAAGAATGATCCAAAATGGGCCAGGGAACAGGAGATGCTGGCGATGAATTCTGTGAAACCGTGTTTTGAGAACTCACGGGCTCAGCCCCATGGGGCCACGTGCAGGGCAACCACCGCACTTAGGGTGGGACCCCAGCCTTGTTTCCTCTGACCCGGGGTCTCTTGTTAGCGAGGGTCACTCGCCAAATATGGGCAAATGTCACCGCCTCACAGGGTCCCTGAGACGTTGGTGCCCAGGAGATGGCGCGGCGGAGGGAGGGCCGGGCTGCGGGCTGGGGAGCACAGACCCCTGCCCCCAGCGTCAGAAACCAAGGCTTTTGATGCTACAAAAACGGGTGCACCCCCTTCCCCTCAAACCCTGGAGCCTGAGGTCTAGGGCCGCTGAGTGTGGCCTGCACACCTGGCCCCGGCCGGCAAAGCACCCTCTGTCCTGAGCACGGAGAGCAGGGGACAACCTCGGGGACGGTGACCCACACCGGGATTCTCAGATTCCAAGAGAAACCTGGCTGGTCTTGTTGGAGAGGTTCTAAGGTGCTGGGGGTGGGCTCTGTCCTCTTGGTAACGGGCGCGTTGCCGGGCAACCCCTTCCAACTGGGTTGCTCTGGGTACCTGGCTCAACGTGGGCCGGCCTCCCTGGGGGGACGCAGGCTTCCTGGGGGCACAGCTTCTAAGGGATCCCTGCAACCTCTGCCTTTAAAGGGGCTGCCCTGTGCTGGCCGGAGTGAGAAGGCGAGACAGGGGTCCCTCTGCAGCTGGGGGTCGCTCACACCCACTTCCCTGGCCCCCTCGCCCCCGTGCCCAGGTGGAGCCGGGCCGCTCCTCACAGTAGGTGGGCACTTACCGGTACCTTCATCTTAAAGTCATCTCTGTTGAACCTGAAGGCGAGGTCAGAGAGCGTCCTTTGGAAAAATCCCGTTGGGCGCAGGACGAGGACAAGCTGGAGGTTTGCTGGGAAGGATGCCTGCAGGGGACAGAGGGCTGCGGCTCTGTCTGCGGGCAGCACGGCTGCCAGCCGGGTCCCCACGCCCGCAGCGGCCCTCGGTCCCAACGGGGAGGACCAGCCCACCAGAGCGGGCGTTTCCAACACGCCAACGTCAGACTGAAGTGGAAATGGTTACAGACACTGCACTGTTAGAGCATCACCATTTCTTACAGAAAAGCACAGAAGTCACACTGCTTGGCACAGCTATGCTGTGCTGCTTATCAACTTCACGGGCAAAAGCTCTGGCCTTCTGGGGAGCTTGTGAGAACCTATCATGGAAGAGGATGTAAAAGGAGAAGGTGGATATTTATGTGTACGTATAACTGAGTCACTTTGCTGCACATCTGAAACTAACACAGCACTGTGAACCAACTATATTGCAATAAAAATTTTAAAAATAAAATAAAAAATAAACTGTAAAAAAACGAGCTTTGACCTCTTGTTAAGGCTGAGTTGGTGCCCCCAGATTCTTATTTTGAAGTCCACGTCCCCAGTGGCTCAGAATGTCTTTAGGGTCTTCACAGAGGTGACCGAGTTAAGATGAGGTCATCAGGGCAGGCCCATGACCGGACATGACTGTGTCCTTATAAATACAAAGGGGACATTTGGGCATAGAGACCCACGGGGACGCCGTGTGAGGATGGATGTAGAGACAGGGACTACCACGTCTGAGGGTGTCCAGAGGCCACCAGACGCTGGGGGAGCACGGAGAGACACCCCTCCACAGCCGCAGAGGGACCAGCCTGCCGACACCGTGATCTCAGACTTCTGCCTGCAGACTCGGGGGACAGGAGATTCCTGTCGTTTGAGCCCCTCTGTGGTCTATGGTATCTGTTATGACGGCCCCAGGAAACTAAGACACTTGTGCAATAAAGACAAAGCCACACACACACACACACACACACACACACACACATACACACGCATCACCTAAAACAGAGCTAAAGATAAGCTTACACCCAGGCGCACACCCGTAGCAGATATGGTCACGTGAGCAGATTCGCACATTCACGTAAGCTCTGCGTACGAGGTGCCTGACCTTGGACAAGTTAACCTCTGTGCCTCGGTCTCCCCATGTGCAAATGGGGATAACAAAGCACCTTCCTCACCGCACGGTCCTGGAGGCCGAGCTCTCTGCCACCCAGGCAGTGTTCAGAGCCCTGCTCCTGACTGAAGCTGAGACAGGGGCATTGCCTGCCCAGGGCCCTGGGGCCGCACCCGGTGGCCTCGGTCTGAGAACCGGTCCCTCAAGTGAGAGAAAAAGGAGGAGAAAGAGAGGCCACTGGGACTGGGCGCTCAGGCTCAGGGCTCCCCAGCCAGTGTCACTCCTGCCGGCGGCCCTGACCTGATGCTGCCCAGCTGTTCCCCACAGAAGCGCTGGGACCCTCTCGAGATGTCAGCTGACCACGACAGCCCCCGCCCAGAACATCCACACAAGTCCCCGCCTGGCCGCGAACAAGCCCAGAGTCCTGAACACGGCCGGTGGCGCCCCCTCCCCGACTCCGCGGCTCCCCGACCCCCCGACGTGGTTCGCACGCCCTCCCCAGCCTCCGCACCTGGACACCTGCCCGGCGCCTTGGTGGGTCAGGGAGGCCCCGGGAGCCTGGCCCCACGTCGGAGGATTCCGCTATCCCGTCCCCGAACCGGACACAGCGAGGCCGTGGCCCCGCGGCCCCGGGGCCCGCCCTCCCACCGCATCGGGGCGGCCACCCTGAATCCCAGCAGCGAGCGCTCAGCCTCCGTGTCTGCCCAGGAGCCCTGCCCCATCGTCCTCTGTCTCCAAACACGACTCACATCTTCGGGCTGGATCTCGCCATCCCGTTCCTGTGGCCGATGCACACCTGCTCCCTGTCTCCCTCCTGCCCTCCCGCCCAGGCCGCCACGCGCCTGATCTCCAGCCACCCTCACCAGGCCACGGCGGGGTCCTGGCCCTTCACGGAGCCCGACCTCAATCCCCTCTATTGATCTTCACCCCGCGAGTCAACCACAGCCCCCCAGATGTCTGCTCAGGTGTGTTCTGCCCCAGCACGCGGCCGCCTGGAAGCTGAGCTTTCCCGCACCTCAACCCCACCTCCCAGCCTCTCTGCACACAGCACACAGCACTGGTCACCACTGTGACTCCACACCCTGTCTCCAGCCTGGCCGCACCTGCCCTACACCTGCCGCCTCTCCATCGCCCGCCGCCCGTCCCGCCTGCACCCCTCCCCGCTGCGTCCCTCCGTCACCTGCCGCCCCTCCCCGCTGCGCCCCTCCGTCACCTGCTGCCCCTCCGTCACCTGCCGCCCCTCCCCCCTGCGCCCCTCCCCCCTGCAGCCCCTGCACGCCTGCCCCACAGTCCCTAACGTGTCCGGGTGTCACCGTCACAGCCCTGGAGGGCAGGACTGCGTGTCCCCCGTGCCAGCACCCGAGCAGGTGCCCGCTGAGTGTTGTGGACAGAGACGAGAAGGTGGGCAGCCTGACGGGGGGGCTCTGGGTCCCCATCAGAAAGAGGGCCGTGTAGCCCCCCCACCAGGCGTGAGACCGGCGTCCACTACCTCAGGAAAACCGCCTTCAGCGTCTCTTTCTGGAGGCGGCACCGAGTCACACTTCTCTAGCCTTCAGCCCGGTTCTATTGCCCTGATTCGCACCTCACAGCTGCTGTGGTCTGAGCTTACAAGGTAACACGAGCCCTTGTCCTTCACTGAGGTCCACTCAGGGCAGGTGGCCAGGAAACCCAGGGTGGGGGACTTGCCCACCCCATCCCGGGAGGAGGGGCACCAGCTGTGCTCACCGTCCCGTCAACGTGGAGAAGACTGTCCCCTTCTTGTCCTCTGCTTCAGTCTTTCCGTGTCTCTAAATGATTGAGTCTTTATATTGGAGAGAGTAACTGTGAGATCCCAGCCCAGTGGGAACACTTCAATGAGACACACACAACTATAAATTAAATCATAATTTATAGCTGCAAATTAATTTTCTCCCCCTTGGAGTCAAACATCTGTGTGAAAAGCTCTGGGAAATTCCAAAACAAAAACTTTATTTTAAAAATACAGTAACTATGGGATTTCCCTGGTGGCACAGTGGTTAAGAATCTGCCCGCCGATGCAGGGGACACGGGTTCGAGCCCTGGTCCGGGAAGATCCCACATGCCGCGGAGCAACTAAGCCCGTGCGCCGCAACGACTGAGTCTGCGCTCTAGAGCCCGTGCACTGCAACTACTGAGCCCACGTGCCGCAAATACTGAAGCCCGTGCGCCTAGAGCCCGTGCTCCGCAACAAGAGAAGCCACCAGAATGAGCAGTCCGCACGCCGCAACTAGAGAAAGCCCGCGCGCAGCAGCGAAGACCCAACGCGGCCAAAAATAAATAAATAAATAAAAATAGAGTGACTCGACGGCAGGTTTGGGACGAAGGCTATAAAGTAACATCTGTTTGTAACTTACTCAGTAATCAAGTGATTACGGTAGTTCCTACGTAACCTGAAAGCAGCAGTGTTTCTTTCCTGAGGCTGACCTTCATTGGCTGAGCAACAGAGAGACGGTGCAAGGACCATTAAAGTGTAATCTGGAGGCAGAGAAAGAGGCTGGCTTCTGAATTAATATTCTAAGAGCCTTATACAATGCAAAGACGTCACCTACAGTTACAAAACAGCTAAATGCAGTGGAACGCAGTAGAAGCTCTGTGGAACCCCAGTGCCTCAGGGAACGGGGTTTGAAAACACTCCCCAAGTGCATGTTACTTTCTTAAGTTTTGCTCGAAGTCACATCTACCCAGGCTGACTATACACTTGACTTCAAACAGAGCAGCCAAACCCTGACCAATAATATTTGTCTGATAGCAGTCAAAAAACACAAGTTTGTGTGATGAATATAGACTTGAAACTTGGTGTCTCAGTGCCAACAGATGAAAACCCTAGGGTCTGAATCAGAGAGGCTGACGTGAGACGAGGCCTCCCCTCGCTCCCAGGGTGGCTCCCATGCAGGTTGTGTGTGAGCACTGAGGATGGGGCCGTCTAAGACCCCCCCACCTCCTGGTGGACAGCGTGGAGACCGCCATAAACACCGTTATGGAAAAGACACTGAAGAACTCGGTGGGAAGGGCATCTCTTTGATCAGAGGACGATCATGAGACCAAATACTCCCCACATCAGGGGAGCTGTCCTCCCCCAGAACATTCTGTGTGGACCTGCACTGCCCACCGGCCTGGACTCGGACCCCCAGCCGCCGACCCCATCCGTAGGCGGCCTCGGCCCTTTGAAGCCCAGTCTCCACCGGCAGTGCAGGTGAGTTTAAGGGAAGCTGCATGAAGGCATCTCCACGCACAGCCCAGGGCTGGAGGCGCCCTGTCCCCTCCACAGAGCAGCTCTGCTGAGCTACTTATTTTAGAAGTCGCAGCTCTTCAAGAGTCAGCGCTGGCCTCCCAAGGGGCCAGTCCGTGCGTTATCCTCAGCCAGAGCGGTGCTATGACCCGACCCCCTCGGTGACCTGTGTTCCACCCCCTGCGCCCCAGGCCCCTCGGAAGGAGCCATGCCCTGGCCCCCCGCCTTCCCGTCTGTGTTCCGAGGGGCGGATCACCACCCCTCTGCCCAGACAAGGCCTCCTTCCCCTCCCAGCTCTCGGCAGGGTCACCTCAGGCGGGAAGCCCTCCTGGAGCTTGCTCTGCTCCCGCCTTCCCTCCGCTATAGGTGCTCACAAGCTGCGCTTAGACCTCTAGTAACTAGCGCACAGTAGGAAGTCACCAGCGTGGTTTAGGACAATGTTATTTGGCTACATTTGGAATATTTACCGGATGCCCTAAAAATCCTTCAGATACTTCATTTTGTACCTTTTCTGCACACAGAAGGCATAGGCTTTACAAGCAAAAACGAGCTCTGCCCCACGCAGACTAGAAACAACTCTCACTGGGATTTCCTTCAAGGTGTGCTCTAGGGTACGGGCTCAGCTGAGCCAGGCTGGCTCCAGACACAGGTCAGCAGCCTCTGCTCCTCTGCTGCCGCGCCCCCAGCTGCCCCCCAACTCCTCCACAGACTCCTGTAGTTTAGAAAAAGGGGGTTCAATTTTAAATGGAATCCCAGAAGAGTATACACGGTATTTTATGAAAGATACATCCATCCGAGGACGGTCCAAACCTTGATCCAACTGTTGGGCAAAGAGCAATGTTCGAGCTCTCAGCTTTGGGTCTCATCCGTGGGTTGTGACTGTGAACTGTGACAGGCAGACACGCACATCAAACTGACACCCGGTGAGCTGCCGCGGGCTCTGCTCTTGATGGGGACACAGCAAGTCTGATTTTAGCGACACTGGACTTTGGACCCTCCAATGCCTTATTTTTCTATTCCAAGCTGAGGTAAAGGCATCCAAAAAAAGGGAAAAGAACACCCCGAAGTACAGAAATCTCAGCTCATGAGACAGCACACATGGCGGCTTAAAATAGCCCCAAATTTCAGCGCATTATGTAAGCGCCCAGGCTCACTCGGGCGGCCAAACGTGTTTGGATCAACAGCCTCTCTGCCTGCGGCCCGGGGCCGTGGTAGAATCGTTCAGGCTGGGCCGGTGCCAACAGATGTCCCCTCCTCAAGGGCTCTGGCCCAGCTGAAGCCAGCTGGTCTTCTCCCCCAAGCTCCCCTGGATGAAAGCAAAGGCCAGCGAGGCTGGCGGTCCAGGTCCACAGCGGGGGATGGCGTTGTGGACCAGCTCTGCCCCCTCCCGCTCCCCTGCACGGGGACAAGGTGCCAGCTGTGTCCCCACCACAGAGCCAGGGTGCAGCGCGGACCCCGCACCTAGCTCAGAGGGGCACAGACCAGGAGCGGCAAGGCCGGGCTCGCAGTGTCCCGGCCCCCTGTGACCTCCCTGCCCATCTCCGGTGCCCTGTGTGTGTGTCCGGCATCTGGTCACGATGTCAGCCACCTGCACTCCACTAGTCTACACATTTCCTGCTATGCTCCCCTGTCCCCAGCACTTCCTACCGTGCCAGGCACACATTAAGGTCTCAATAAATGTGTTGAATATATAAATAGAACTTTTGGCATTAATACGATCAGTGAATTCTTGTAACAAAAACCACTGGAGCTCAAAGAGAATTTCTGACCATTCTGCTGAAAAGTGCTAACTTCTGGGCAGTTCCAAGGCAGTATTGGGGAACCTTAAGGCTTACAGGAGAAAAATTTATATTTTTATTGTATAAGAATCAGTGCAAACATGAAAACTCTAACTTTTTTTTTGTTTTTGCTTTGCGGTACGCGGGCCTCTCACTGTTGTGGCCTCTCCCGTTGTGGACCACAGGCTCCAGATGCGCAGGCTCAGCGGCCATGGCTCACGGGCCCAGCCGCTCCGCGGCACATGGGATCCTCCCAGACCAGGGCACGAACCCGCGTCCCCTGCATCGGCAGGCGGACTCTCAACCCCTGCACCACCAGGGAAGCCCCTAACTTTTCAGTTATGATTTTCACAATGTTTTGAAGATGAGCCAGCTCTCTTCAAAAATTCATCTCATTATAAACTGGATGAAGGGACTTCCCTGGTGGTGCAGTGGTTAAGAATCTGCCTGCCAATTCAAGGGGCATGGGTTCAAGCACTGGTCCGGGAAAATCCCGTATACTGTGGAGTAACTAAGCCCGCGCACCACAACTACTGAGCCCATGAGCAACAACTACTGAAGCTCGCGCTCCTAGAGCCCGTGCTCCGCAACAAGGGAAGCCACCGCAATGAGAAGCCCGCGCACCGCATCGAAGAGTAGCCCCCGCTCGCCGCAACTAGAGAAAGCCCGTGCACAGCAGTGAAGCCCAATGCAGCCACAAAAAACCAACCAACCAACCAACCAACCAACCAAACAACTGGATGAAGAGTAAAGCTATGTTTATGCTCGGCCACGGGAGAGCCTGACCCTACACTGGTCTACCCTGGGCCACTGGCGATCTCGATGACTACTCAGGTTTTAAAAATAATGTATCTGTTTCTTAGCAAACAATACTGCATTTGGAGAATCTCTTATTATCTGACCAGGAGTGGCTGATCAGCTTGAGAGATATTCACAGCGCTCCTGTCTCGCCCGGGCCCGGGCTGGGTGCCGGCCACACGAAGGCGGATGGGGCTGGCCGTGGCCTCGAGGGCCCATGGCGTGCAAACAGAGAATGAGGGTATCCTCCCAGGAAGGGAGGCCAGGCAGGGACTGAGTGCAGTCCTGCTCCAGGGTTTTGGGGGGCGGGCGCTAGGGGCGGGTAAGGAGGGATGAGTGGCAGTCACCCTGGCTCTGGGTGAGGGCCCCCCAGGGTGTGGCGTGTGGCAAGGCCTGGACCCCACGGGGATGCCCGTGACCATCACGGCAAAGCCCCTGACTCAGACGCCCGTGCACACCACGACGTGCCCGAGCGGTGGTTCAAACCACTGATAGACAAACGCAAAAGAACTGGGCAAATTACTGGACTCGAAAATGTTATTATAACAGTGTTACCTTTTAAAACAGCAACACACTTGACTGGAAACCTCTTGGCCGCCAGCTCAGGACTAATTTACTGAGTTATTGATTCAAGAAAAATGTGTTGTTAAGTCCTTTGTGCATCTGACCCAAGTGGCTTTTACAATTTAATCCTTAATTTGGGCTGTCAGGTGACGTCACGTGCAAATTTATTTTAAAATTTAAAATAATGAAATGGACATGCTGGCTGTGAACTGGTGGTGGCACATCAAAGTCCTCTGTGAGCTTCTAAGGATTTAAAAACAAAGGAAAGCTGACGATGAAACATTTATATACTACGTGAATACGCTTCTTTTGAAACATCCTCAAGTGTTTTGATTTGTTGCAGACAAATGGTGACGTAGAGAATGCGTGCCTGGTGGGGACGGGAAGCAGGGGCAGGGCGGTGGGGGAGTCGCTTTGTCAGGAGGACGAAGCGGGGACCGGGCAGCCCCAGGACGGGTTTGCAGGACCCTGTCGGTCGTGAGCGTCGGGGCAGATCCTGAGCCTGAAGCGTTGTTCAGAGGAAGTAATGAGGCAGCCGGGAGGACGGATCAGTTCTCCGGCCACATCCAGACCCCAGCACAGCAACAGCCCCTCAGAGGCCAGAACAAGACCCAGAGCAAGAGCCTGGGGGACCGTCCCCCCACTGGGGGTCGGTCGGGGTCACTCTGCCTGCAGAGCAGCAAACTTCCCGGTCCTCTGGCTGTGGGGAGGCAGGGGTGGGTGAAACTCAGCCGGGGAGAAGCGCTCCGCACCCAGCTCGGGAGCCCGGCCAAGCCGCCGCCGAAAATAAGACTGGGGGCTTTCTGCTGACTTCAGCTATTCCCGCGGCTAAAAACAGCACAGCAGCAGTGCAGACCAGCGGCTCTTCCGCCTGCAGTCTGCGGACCAGGAGGGTCTCCACGTGGCCATGAGGGCCACCAAGGACGGCTACTAGTCTGCCTTAGTCGTAAGACTAAAGAAGAAACAGCCCGTTTAGAAGGAGAAAGTCACATAGGAAAAGCTATTCAATGTAATCCCCAAACTTGTAGCCTGAAGGTTCCCCTCAATAATGACTGCACGGTGTGTCCTGAGCATCTCACATACTCAGCGTCAGAAACAAACCAGCTGGGGAGATGGTTTTCAAGTTATAACACAGCCCCCGAGAGTGATAACCCACTTGAGAACACACAGGCATGCACACACACGTGCACAGACATGCACACACGTGCACACACACTTGTGCTCGCAACTCGAGGAACCCAGGAGGGTGTGGCTGGCCCTGCCCCAGGCCCCAGGCTGGTGCTCCGAGCTGGTGCCCCACCGAGCAGCACAGGCCAGAACCCAAAGTGCCAGCCGGCAGGAAAGGCCGCGTCACCTGCCCAGGAGGAGGGGGTGGGGGGCACGCGCGCGGTTACCGACACTTACCGCTATTCTCAGGATGGACGCCTTGACCGAGGTCCATTTGTCCTGCCTGCGGTCTATGACCAGGATGAACCCGATGCCAGCATCCTGCAGGCTGAGAGGAGGAGAGAGCCGCGCTCAGTGCGCCGCCGGAGGATGGGCCTGCCCTGCCGTCCATCTCCAGGAAGAGCTCGGGGCAAACCGGCTCCTCCTGTGGCCCTCAGCCTGCTCCACACACTGCCAGGGGCGCCGCGTGCCAGGACAGCATCGAGCCACCTGCAGGGCTTCCCTGAGCTCGCGGGCACCTTCCAGGGCTCGCTCTGACCTGAGACGGACGGACAGACTCTGTGTTGTTTATTTCCCAGCCTGACACCAACCAGCTCACGGCACAGAGAGGTAGGCAGAGCCCATGCTTCCTGGAGCCCAGCTGTTCCAGTCAGAGCTGGTCATCTTGCCTTGCAAGTGGACCGGCCGGCCCAGCCCTTCACAGTGAGCCTATGACCCACATGTCACGTTAGTCCCAGCATCTGGGGTCCCCGAGTTCATCCACGACACAAAATCGCGCTTGAAGGCACGGCCACAGCTCGGGGAGAAAAGCCCCGAGGCGCCCGGAGGTGCACGAGCATCCGCTGGGGACGGGAGACAAGATGAGGCTCCTCGCAGCAGCAGCATCTGAGAGAAAGATGCTGAGCACCGGTGACGACAGCCCCGTCCCCACAGCCTGACGCGGCGTCTGAGTCACTGTGGAGACCAGGAGGCTTCTCCCCTTGGACAAGCCCGCCACCGTGAGCCAGCTGCAGGGCGGCAGTGCCCACGCCAGCCAGTCGGCGCGGAGGAATGAGCGAGCAGGCTGAGGCTCCGACTGGAACTGCTAATTTCCACGTCTCCAAACATACCAACGGTTTAAATGAAAACCAGAAATACACGGGACACGTATAAACTACGTGGCTGGCAGCGGTGCTCTGCCTGCTGGGAACATTATGTAACAAAAGCCACAGCTGAAACAGCCCAAGTGCTCCGTCTCGGAGCAACACCGATGATGGACACACAGAGCCATGCCTGCGCGGGAGCGTGCGCGCCGCTGACTGTGTGTCAGTGCACCCGATGGTGAAAGGCTCCACCCGTTCAGCGTTACCTGCTCCACAGACGGCACAGGACTTCCGGGTAAAAGCACAAACAGACGTCAGAGTGCGCACAGCCAGGCCGACACGGCGCCCCCGACAGAACCGTCTTCTAATCAGGCTCAGCTCTCACGGAGGGAAGTTTTATTTTGTTTACCACTCGGGCTTAAGTGCCAGGTACCTGGGATCACAGCCGCCTTGCCCCACTCCCCACGCCCGGCAGCAGGCGATCCACGTGGACGGCGGCCTCAGGGCCTGATCTGGGCGGGCAGAGCCGGGGCGGTCAGGAGCCTGGGGCTCCTCGGTTGGCGTCACGGGCACACGCCTTCCCCTGGGCAGCCCCAGGCGGGCTCCTGAGCCCTCCCAGCCTCGGCCACGGGAGCCGGGGCTCAGCCCGGCGCGAGACGGCAGCGCATCGGGCGCCCGCGCGGGCCCCGTCCCGTCCACTCGCTGGTGCCCTGCCGAGACTGCCCCTCTTGGCGGCCCCTCCCCTGGGGGGACAAGTCCCACGCGGTCCCCTGACAACACCGACCACAGCGGCTTCTCCACAGGCTGTGTCTGCACTCTGCCCCACCCTCCCTCCGTCTCACAGGGAGCTGCCCTGCGGTCTGCGCCGTGGGGCCGGCCCGGGTCTGAGGCCCAGCCGCCGGGATCTCACTCTTCCTAAGGTGCAGGAGACTCGCTTGCCCTGAGCAGGCGGCCACCCTGCCAGGCATGGGCCCCGCCAGCACAGGGGTCTGAGATGCGCCCCCAGACCGCCCGCCCGTGGGGGGCTACCGAGAGGAGCACAGCCCAGGGGCGGGCGCCACACGCGGGGACACGGGCCTGTCACCACAAGCTGGGCCGGGCCATTCCTCGGCACCACCTGGATGGGCCACTCAGCGAGAAGCAAAAGCGGGACCCGAACAGGGTCCACCTCCGGGGCTGCCGCGGGAGCAAAGTCTGATGATGGCGGCAAGCCCGCCGTGCGCCCTACTCAGCGGTGGCTGCTGTGCGGCCGTCTCCCCTCCCCCGGGACAGAGCTCTAGGAGCGCGGCCCGCCTCCCCATCACCCCTCGTGACTCCACAACAGGCCTCAGGGTGTCAGCTGTGGTTCTGGGCCCGGAACGTCCTCCTGTGGCCCCTGCGCTGACCCCGCTGCCCTCGGCGGCCTGTCACGCTCACGCACGAGCAGGGCCGCTGGCCTGGCCACTCACGGAGCACGCGGCCCAGGGCCTCGTGCCCCACCGCCCACGTCACTTCCACATCCCCCTGCCACCCCCACCCCCGTCCCTTGGGGTCTTTAACTGGCTCTGTGCATTTGAAAGCCTTACGGTAAAAAGTCTGTAACGACCTCAGTGGACAGTGCTGACAACAAACATGATGAAGACGCAAAGGCGCCAACGACACAATCTCTTAAAAAGAGAATTTCAAGAGAAATATGAGGAATTTACTGGATCCACAAAAACGTGTCCTGAAAGGCGGGTTTCCCAGCGAGGCAGCGGTCGGGCCGGCAGCTCCCGGCTCCTGGTGTATGAAAACACTCAGGCCAGAGCTCTGCGGTCATCCGCCTGCAGCCCTGCAGGTGCCCAGTGGGGTCGTGCAAGGGAGGGTGTGGCCGAGGCCCCGCCTGGGTCCCCCCTCCTGGCAGGCACTGCACTGAAGCCTGGGGCTATTCTTCCCTCACTCCCCACAATGAGCCAGAGGCACAGAGAGTCTAAGTCGATTGTCCAGAGTCACACAGCTGGGGAGCACAGACCGGGTGGGGCCCGCGGCCTGGCTCCCGAGTCCAGACCCCCCAGGCCGAGTCCACCCTGTGGGATAAAGCCGCCCTCCCTCCCGCCCACCCCTGGGCTGCCTCCTGTGTCGGGCCAGGCAGGGCGGCCCCAGAGGCAGAAGGTGACGACGCCCGTGCACCAGCACCTGGCTCGGGGCCACGAGAGCTCTCCTCCCTGCCTCTCTCCTGTCTCTGACCACGTTTTGGGAACGCTGGCTCAGAGGTGCACAGGCGTAACAGAAGGCGCCTTATGTAAGGACGTAGGGACCCTCCAAGGCCCCCTCTGCCCACGTGACTGCAGCCCCAGAGCAAGGCCGTGTGATCTGCCCAGCCCCCAGAAGCCAGGGCTCAGCACCCCAGGGTCCCGTCACTCTGCCCTCCACCGCTCTAAGGAGGGTCCCGTCTGCCCGTCTCCTGCGTCCGTGACCTCACATGCCCAGGGGAGAGGGAGGGTGGCTGACGCTCAGATTGCACAAGAGGCCAGCACCCAGGGTCCCTCGTGTGCCAGGCTTCGACGTGACTGCGCTGAGGGTGGTGGCAGTAGGGGAAACTGGAGCAAGTAATCCAGAAACTGCAGCCACGCGGGCAAGCCCCTGGGACCCTGGACACACGCGGCCCTGTGGACGCACAGACGTCAGCCCGCAAAGTCCCAACAGCCGCTCGGAGGGGCCCCTGGGTGGCTGCCCGGCCGCCGAGTGAGGCTGATGGGCTCACTGTGGGCCCAAACAATCAAAAAAGGCCCAGAGCTCACGCAGGCACGGCGTCCTCTCTAACACCCCAGGCCTGCTAGCTCCTCGGGTGGCCCTGGGTGGCCGGAGACACGGCCAGCTGCAGTCTGACCTCCCCTTCGTCGGGACTGGGCAGCATGGGGCGGCCCGGGAACTGGGCTGGGCTGGGAGGGTCCCCGCAGTGAGGCCGCGGCCACCCGGCGTCACCGTGACCAGTTCCTGCGTGGCTGCACCTTGCTCTCAGACCCAACATGTCACAGAGCAGGGACAGGCGGGGACACTAGGCCCGGCTTGGCCTCGCTCAGCCCGTGCGGAGCTCCCGGTGGGAAGGACCACGGCTGGGGTGAGGGTGAGCGTTCTCAGGGCCACCTTGACAGAGGCCAGCTAAGCCTGGCACCAGGCGGGGGAAACAAGCCCAGCAAGGGGGGCAGCGGGCCAGGCAGGCCTGGGAAGGAGGCGCCGGCAGGCTGGCGCCCATCCCAGCCTGGCCTGGCGGGTGGCAGCGCGGTGCATCCCCAGGGGCCCGTGGGAGAGAAGGTCCCACCTCCTCCAGGGGCCCTGGCCAAGCAGCTGGGCCCTGGGGCTGGGCCAGCCCTTGGGGTGGGCAGGGTGTGGGCAGGCCAGGTAGGGGGCTGAGGTACGGGTGGAGGCTGCAGCTGGGGGTTGGGGGGCACAAGCCGGCTTGTAGAGCAAATGGGTCCAGGCAGGACCTGCCCCACCTTCCTGACCGCCCCTGCTTCCCCACCTGGCTGTGCTTCTTTGGCCTTTCTTCTCTCTTTGCATCCCATGTTTTGACCCTGGTCTACAGAGGTTGCGAATGTTACAAAGATTTTCCTTCCCTGTCTTCCTTTTGTAAGCGAAATGCCACAGACCGTTTCCTCTCTGCCTGTGACTTACCTGCCGGGTTCAAACGCCGTGACTTTGAACGTAGCCCTGAGCATTCAAGCCTGAGCCTTTCTTTCCTGGCTGTCTCTTCCCTCTTCTTGTGATTCAAAAGCTGCACCTGTTATCATATCACGTGTGCAATGTGGTTCTCTTAACGCTGGTCAGCTTTTCATCCCAGAAAGCACAACGGCAAGAAAAACGTCAGACCCTTTTAAAGAACTCTCTCACACGTGGTAACAGCACCATATCTGTTCTCAAGGCTACAGCAGCCCCGTCAGGGTCAGACGCACACAGGGAGAGCAGGGCCGGCCAGGGAGCCCTGACCACACAGTAGGGCTGTTGCCTCGTTCTCACGACCCAAAGGAAACAGTCCACCTCTTACAAAAACACAGGGATTTCTCCAAAGAGCCCGAAAACTTGCATTTTTTGTTCTTTATATTTAAGTTATTTTTTCCACATCAACATCAAGGTGAAGATACTCAAGATTTGTTTGAACCGACGCATGTGCAGTAGTAGGAGGGTCTTTCTTAGACAACGAAGAGGTTAACGTGCAGCCCCGTGCCCCGTCTACAGGGACCCACGTGGCACAGAAGGAAACTGGAGTATGTACCTGGTTTTCAAAGAC